CCTCCCCGAGAGGCTGGGGGGAGGCGTGGAAAGTGTCTCGTGTGTCAACAGGAGGCATTCCCTTCACGCTGTCGTGCAAGAAGCTCCCTGTGTGAAAGGCGTGGACCTGGAGACTTCTTTTTGGAAGACGTGGCTGCAGCATCCACAAGAGCTTTTCATTAAAAACAAACAAACAAAAAAACACAAAGAGAGAGAGAGATTTTTGTCCTGGACTCAACGGCTAGAAAGGCGTTCTTGCTCCGCAGGCTGCGTCTAACGTCTCTTGGGAGGGTTGACAGGCGACTCCATGAGTGGCTACGTTTGCTTACTGGCGGCAGAAGATTAAGGCAATCGTGGGTCAAGAGTTTCAGCAGTTGGAGGGGAGTTCGGATACGTTTTGCTAACTGGATCGGTTCCTGCTCAACCAGACGCGTGGAGTAGCGCCGGGTCACGTGCAAGGCTTCCGGACGCATCCTCCGTTTAAATAAAATGCAGGGCGGTAAGCACCAATCCTGGGAAGTCACGTGTCCAATGATACTCTCAACACACACACACACACACACACACACACACGTACCTGACTGGAGAGCACAGTAGAAGAAGTAGCTTTCACCCCGAAAGATCAGTGGGCCGCACGGACCCACCAGATCCGAGGGTGATGTCTCCCATGAAAACGAAAATGTCTAGACAACAGCGAGCGTTGCCATGCCCACAAGTAACTGTTTACTGCTCGGTCCCACGGGACCCTCCAGTGTCTCCTGAGACGCGTGGACCCCCGAGGCGGGCCCTCAGTTCTTGACGGAGGCCTGGTTTCCACTCGTGCTCCCGCCCGGAACGTTCCCGTCGGGCTGGAAGGCGGGCGCCGGGGGGCTCAGTGACGCGGCTTCGTGGAGTGGCCCAGGGTCTCCCTGGACGCCGTTGCCTTCCTTCTCCCACGGGACCGAGGAGGACGGCCGGCGCCCGAGGCTGGGGATCAGGAGATCGTCTGGGGCCTGGATTAGTGTTTCCTCCTCGTCTGCTTTTCCTTCCTCAGTCCGGGCAGCGTCCGGAGGACC